CAGTGTAAACAATTCTGAATGCATGAAACAGCATTGTACCCCCCCTTTAAATGTCAGTGATGGTCTCATTTACGTGTGACCAGTTTCATGATACTAGTTAGTATTGGTCTGTTTTAGGTATTGGTAGTTATGTCAGTCCTACTACCTTAATAATCAGTATTTAAGTTAGAAATCTAGTTTAAGTATCAGCATCTGCCTAGTTTAATTTTCAGTATTTAAGTTGTGATACTAGTTGAAGTATCAGTAATGGTCTACTTTAGGTACCATTTGTTTAACGGTCTAGTTTAATATCAGTATTGGTCTAGTTTAGGTATGGCTAGTCTAATCATACTAGTTTAAGTATCAGTATTTGTCTACTAAATGTGTCAGTAGTTTTAGTAGTCACACTACTTTAATTACCAATATTTTATGTTGTGATACTAGTTTAAGTCTCACTATTGGTCTAGTGAAGGTGTTAGTGGTTTGAGTAGTCATACTAGTTTAAATATCATTATTGGTCTAGTTTAGGTGTCAGTAGTTTGGGTTGTCATACTAGTTAAATAACAGTATTGGTCTATTGTAGGTGTTAGTGGTTTGGTTAGTCATACTAGTAGTTTAAGTATCAGTATTGGTCTAGTTTAGGTGTCAGTAGTTTGGGTTGTCATACTAGTTTAAATATCAGTATTGGTCTAGTTTAGGTGTCAGTAGTTTGGGTTGTCATACTAGTTAAATAACAGTATTGGTCTATTGTAGGTGTTAGTGGTTTGGTTAGTCATACTAGTAGTTTAAGTATCAGTATTGGTCTAGTTTAGGTGTCAGTAGTTTGAGTCGTCATACTAGTTTAAATATCAGTATTGGTCTAGTTTAGGTGTCAGTAGTTTGGGTTGTCATACTAGTTAAATAACAGTATTGGTCTATTGTAGGTGTTAGTGGTTTGGTTAGTCATACTAGTAGTTTAAATATCAGTATTGGTCTAGTTTAGGTGTCAGTAGTTTGGGTTGTCATACTAGTTAAATAACAGTATTGGTCTGGTTTAGGTGTTAGTGATTCAGGTAGCCATACTAGTTTAAGTATTAGTATTTTTGTAGTTTAGGTGTCAGTGGTTTGTGTAGTCATATTAGTTTAAGTATCAGCATTGATCTAGTTTAAGTGTGATGTTTTATTGCTACTAGTTTAAATGTCAGTATTGGTCTAGTGTATGTGTCAGTGGTTTGGACAGCCATACTAGTTTAAGTATTAGTATTGGTCTAGTTTATGTGTCAGTGGTTTGGGTAGTCATACTAGTTTAACTATCAGTATTGGTCTAGTTTATGTGTTAGTGGTTTGGGTAGTCATACTAGTTTAACTATCAGTATTGGTCTAGTTTAGGTGTTAGTGGTTTGGGTAGTCATACTAGTTTAAGTATCAGTATTGGACTAGTTTAAGCCTGATGTTTTTATTGCTACTAGTTTAAGTATCAGTATTGGTCTAGTTTAGGTGTTAGTGGTTTGGGTAGTCAT